ATATATCCCATGAAATGAAATTATGAAATAACCGGTAAAACGAAATGATCATAAAGGTTCATGAAATCATGAAATGACAGTAAAGGTTCATGAAATGACAATAAAGGTTCATGAAATGACAGTAAAGGTTCATGAAATGACAATAAAGGTTCATGAAATGACAGTAAAGGTTCATGAAATGACAATAAAGGTGTTCTTGAAATGACAATAAAGATGTTCTTGAAATGACCATAAAGGTTATTATTAAAAATGATAAATAACTAAAAAGCTTATTAAACTTATCAATTTATTATCATGATTTCACCGTATCCAGATTATCTAATAATCTTAAGCAACATTACTTTGTATATTTACTGGGATTTATAAAATCTTTGCAAATTACAATTATTCAAGAATTGACTTTAATGGAAATTTTGTTGTCATTTTACGAGGACACTGTCAAAAAGAAAATTATTTTGTAAAAGTTCATAACATATATATATTTGTATATTACCTGGGAATCGATAATTACGAAGTAAATTGTCCAGGATTTCACGATCATTCAATAAATTCTTTTGTTTCGGCCCATCAATTTTTCTCAATGATTTATAAATTTTTAAATTTTGTAAAAAAAAAAATTTTTTCTTGAAAAAAATTAATTTCATATTAAAAGAAAAATTTAATTTTTGTAAATGAATATATAGAGACGATTTATTTATTTTTTTATAAAATGAAAGATATTTTTAATGAATTAAGCAACAATTCAATTCCATTTGTAATCTCAATGATAATTGCCACAAATTTGAATAAATAAATAAATTTAAAATGAAACAAATTAATTGTATAATAATTTCCTATAATAATTCAAATGTAAATTTGTTTATTTGTAAAATTAAAGAAAATATGTGCCATAATTAATTTGAATAATTGTTGTTAAATTAAATGAAATGTCGGAATCTTCAAAAAAAAGAAAAATAAATAAAAAAAAGAAAAGGGAAAAGCAATTTGGAAAATTTGTACGTGATAGCAATTAAAATTGTTTCACATCTGTTATAATCATTAAAATTAATTATTTTTTTCTCTCTCTCTCTTTCGTTTTTTTTAGTTATTTCTTTATATGGAAAATATTTCTGTAATAATAAATTTAATTATAGCTTTCACGAGGAAATTAGTGTTTAATTCAAAATTTTTTTGCCTAATTTTCTGTTTTTGCACTTTTAAAAATGCAAAATGATAAAATTAAATGGATGAGTAAATAAACAAATTTGATGAATAAATAAACAAATTTGATGAATAAATAAACAAATTTGTTTATTTGTTTGTTTGTTTGTTTCTTTGTTTATTTGTTTGTTTGTTTGTTTGTTTGTTTGTTTGTTTGTTTGTTTATTTGTTTGTTTGTTTGCTCATTTATTTTTATTTGATGCAATCCCAAATAAACTTCTAAAAGTGCAAAATGATGAAATTAAACACATTTTGATGAAATTAAACAGATAAAATTTTTTGATAAAAATTTTTTTGTTAGATTTTTTAATAAAATTTTGATGAAATTTTGATAAAATTTCACAAAAAATGATTTTTTTTATGAAATTAAAGAAATGATGAAATTAAATAGATTTTGCATTTCTAAAAGTGCAAAATGATGAAATTAAACAGATAAATAAACAAAACAAACGAATTTCTTTCTTTAGTTGTTTGTTTGTTTGTTCGTTTGTTTGTACGTTTATTTGTTTGTTTGTCCGTCTGTTTATTTGTTTGTTTGTTTGCTTGTTTATTTATTTGTTTGTTTGTTTGCTTATTTGTTTGTTCATTTGTTTGTTTGCTTGCTTATTTGTTTGTTTATTTGTTTGTTTATTTTCACTTGATGCAATTCCAAATAAAAAATCTTTTTATTTGCTGAAAATAATTTGAAGTAAAAATTTTCTTTCTTTTTTTTCAATTTCAAATTTTTTATCGAAAGCTTATTCAATTTTAGCGAACATTTGTTAATTGAATTTTTTATTGATCAAAAGATTATAATATTTTGGTAAATCGTATCAATTGATGTTAGTTAATTGATTATATTATTGTTATTATTATTATTATTATTATTATTTTTGTTTCACTAGAATTAGCTTCATGAATATATTGAAATTTAAATGTTTTAAAACAATTTCAATTAATTTAATATGAATATTTCCAGTCTTTTGTTTAGTTTAATCTTTTTGTTCTGAATAAATTTTTGACGATAGTAAAAAAAAAAAGGAAAATACCAAAAAAAAAAAAAACTAGGAAATCAGATCATTAAGCAAAATCGGATATGAAATTTATAAAGAAATAAATTAATATTCAATGAAATCACATCGACATGCTCAGTAATTTTCGTTAACACAAGAAAGCATCTCAACAGTTATAATTATTTCAGATATTCCGAATCCGGATGCAAACCGGATATTGCAATATTGATGAACAATATTGTATAAAAATTAATTCTCTTGAAAAATGTGATCTAATGTTAAACATAATTTTATAAACGAAAAAAATTATAATAATACAAAAGATAATTTAAATATCAAAAATACTATCATTTTTTCTCTTCATCATTGTTTAAATTAATTATCATTTAAAAGAAAAAAAGAAGAATTAGCAGAAAATTTATAGTATTTGATAACATTATTAATTATAAAATTTAAATTAAAATTAATATTTTGTTTTTTTCCTTGTTCATAAGATTTATTCGTGTCATAATTTAAGCAAGTAATATAGAAATTCAATAAACAATATATTACAATTCTATATGAAATAATCAAAATACGAAATAATTAATTAAATAAATGAATTCCATTGATAAATTGAAAAGATTAGGAAAAGGGATGAGACAGAGAGAGGAGGAGAGGTGGGGGGAGAGAGAGAGTTATCGAAAATCATTTTATCAAAATTAATTATTTCGTTTTATCATCTAACTATTCTTTTAGCAAAGTATTCCGAAAATGAAATTAATCAGCATTTCTAAATTAAGGAAAATGAAAAAAAGAAAAAAGAAAAAACTCTTTTCGATTTTAAATCATTTCCAATATTATATTCATAAAATTTTAAATTTAGCAAAAAAAAAAGAAAAAAGAAATGTATGTAAAGAGAGAAGAGGAGAAAAAGAGAGAGAGAGAGAGGGAAAAAAATGAAAAGATTAACTTACCCAATGGTTCGATATGTTTCCAATAAAGTTTCATTATCAGTATATGCAAATGTAATTAATGAATAATTAACAGATAATATAATATATATCAAAAATGAAAATGATAATAATGAAGAGAACATGTTTCCTTTGTTTATTTATCGATTTCTTCACTCTTATTTATCGTATTGCTTTTCTTTTTTTTTTTTGTCCAAAATTCGATCGGAAAATATAAAATTTACCACTTATCAATGATAAGAAAAGAAAAAAAAACAATCGATAAATTTTGTCTATATGAATTTAAGAAATAATTAACAAAAATCTAATTAATTTTTGGCGGGATAATAGTTTTTTCTCTTCTTTTTTTCTCTTCAAATAATGGAGAAAATATATGAGACAAACAAAGAATAATATCTAATCGAGTATATATGGTCAACAATGTTGACCTCGTTTCCAATTTTAGTATTGATATTCAAAATATTTATATCAGTTAATACAGTATAACAGTAATAATAAGTTGCAGTAGTAGTAGTAGTAGAAGTAGAAGTAGGAATTGTAAATAAAATAAATTCGTGTTGATAATAAATATTATATTATCAACGGAAGATTTAGGACCATATTGTAAAGGAAGAGGTTGATGAGTTGTGAAAAGTGAATTTGGTTGAAGGCGCAAGCAATACCGACGATAGTGATGATGATAATGATGGTGATGATGATGATGATAATGATGATGATGATGATAATGATGATGATGATGATGATAATGCTGGTGTTATTGTAGACCCATCCCATCGAATATGTGACAATGATGCCATCTGGGAGCAAAGAAATGCCAATGACGCCGATAATACTTCGACTAATAATAATGCCGATATTACTCAATTGTTAATGACAATATCAGTATTTAAAATCATTGTAATTTGAGCTAACATGAATTAATCGCTTTTATTATTATTATTATTATT